CTAGAGAAGGGAGAATTTGAGCTATTTCTTACCAAAAGACCGAACAAATCACACCCACAAAGCAGGAGCAGTCGGACGGTGAGGAGCAGAGCAAGGCAGATCCGGATTCTGCAGAGGGGTGGGGGAAATTTATGGGTTCTTTATGGGTTCTAGAACAAGAAAGGAAGGGGAAAATACCAAGCTTCCTTACCAATTTTCCAAGGCATGGTTGGGTTTCCTTTTTTTTTTTCTTTCGAGTGGCTGCAGCGGGAAGAAAGGAGAAGAAGAGCAGAATCGGGCAAGGCTGGGAAGAAAAGAAAGAAAGAAAAAGAGAAAGAAAGAAAAAGAAAAAGAAAAAGAAAAGAAGTCCTCCTTATCCAAAATCTTTCCCTCTTTAAGTCCCTCAACTTTCAAAATGTTGGCCATCAAGCCCCAAAACAATCTTTTCTCACAATTTAGTCCATAACTCACTTATTTATTCTCGAAAATTTGGGATATTACACTTAGCTTGTAATCCTCTACTCAAATTCTTTGAGAGATATCTTAGAGGTGTGTTTACTTCCTTTAAGAGTGATTTGCAATGAGGATTATTGGCTTTATTGGGTTTATTTTGTAAAAGGGTATGATATGTGAAAAGACCCATTTTTGTGGTTTGTGAGAAAACCCATTTTTTGTAAAAGAGATTGAGAGACTCCTTTAAGCCATCCTCGTTCATTCTAATGGAAAGTGTGGAGGAAATTCTTCGTAAAAAAAGTCAAGGTAAAGGATTAGATGCTAAGTGATTAGAGAAAATCTTCATAAAATCTTTGTGCAAGCTCTTCTTCCCTTTTCTCTTCAATTTTCACTTTGTGGTTAAAAAGGAAGAAAATTTTAGTACTCTAATTCACCCCTCTTCTTGGAGTGCATTAGGCCAACAATTCTTTCTACCAAATTATTCTGGAACTTGATTAATTTATTTCTCTTGTGAAAATACTATTTTCACACAAATTAATCCATTTTTAGAAACTTGGATTTATAGAAATCCCCATCCCAAAACACACCGAGTGTGTGATCCTCTAGGTTTCCATCATGATAACATTGAGTAACACTCACATACCAAGAGCGATATCAAACAATACATCATGGCTACCCAAAGTGATGAAAAAAGTCAATGGCTTTAATGAACCTTCCTATAATCGATGCACTTATGTAATTCACACAACTAGAATCCACCAATTTTTAGACTAATATATTAGTCTGAAAAAGCTAAAAATCAATCTAAATATAGTTATTCAAATGGACAATGATCTAAAAAGTTTAACCAAAAAAATCAAGTCTGAAACAATTTTAGTCCAAACCAACAAATTATTATTGTGCCTATGATTTTGATGATTACAAAACACATTTGAATGATTAATTTATTCATCTAAGTGTGTACTTTATGGCCTAAAAAATTGTAAAAGTAAGTGAACTTGGATTACACTAAAAATGAACAAAAAAAGATGAAATTGGTGGAGAGAGCCGGCTCTGCAATTCTACAGTTGGCTCTGATGAACAAAAATGTAGAAAGTTGGCTTAAAACACTACAGCTAGCTTTACAGGTGAAAGATTTTAAACCTGCAGTTTGGCGCACACAAAAAATGGACGCAAAGTCGACTCTAACTTTGTATCCAACTATGATGGCACATTCAATACTCAATGATCAAGTTCTTTAAAGATTTTTTAATCTTTTGAAGTTAGATTTCTTAAGCTGGCTTTGTGTTTTGTAGCTAGCTTTTTGAAAAATAAACTATTGTAGGAGCAGGAAAGTTGAATATATACATGCAAGTTGACTCTACAAAGCTAGCTTTGGAGGTAAAGCTGGCTCTATGACAAATCTATAGCAACTTTTCTTGGACTTAAATTGATCAGCAGAGTATTTAATGAACCCCAACAACTAGAAATAGCTATTTTTGACCAATGGAATAAAAATATGGTTGGTAGAACATCTGAAATAGTTTTTAGGCATTTATTGTATACCCTTACCTATCAACTTGTACTTTAACTTGAGATTTAGGAAATGAAGTAAGAGTAGCTTTATTAGCCACAGGATTTATACTTGCCAAGTGAATTGGTTCTAGAACTAGAACACTGATATTATGTGCCTATTAAATAATTTTGACAAAGGGATTTTCGTTTAAAATGAAATATGTTATGGGATGGCATCATTAACCAATGGTTTATATGTTATAGATTTAAAAAAAAACCTATTTTCTAAATTGATAACAAGAAACATAAGTCTAAGAACTCAAGATAAGCCTACCTATGCATTATAGGCATAGTCATGTAAACATGAAATGTTTGACAAAGCTACATCAAGAAGGGTACTTAGAGTCATTTGACTTAGCAGCTCTTGATATATGCCACGCATGATGATAAGGAAAATGGCTAGGGTAGGTTTTGATGACAAAAGTGAATGACCTATAGAATTATTGGAGTTAATCTACATAGACATTTGTGGACCCTTTCTAATAGAGGTAAGAGGTGGGTGTTCTTCATAACTTTTACTAATAACCTAAGTAAATATGAATGTCTACTTAATGAGGTACAAGTAAGAATCCTTTAAAAAAAATTAAGGAGTTAAGAATGAAGTAAAGAATCAACTTGGCAAGAAGATAAAGAATCTTCAATAAAATCAAGGTGGTAAATATCTTAGCTAAGAGTTTATTGATTTTGAGTAAGAGATTATCTCATAATTAACACCTCCAAGAACATCACAAGGGAATGATGTAAATGAGATGAAGAACAATACCTTATTAGACATGGTGCATTCGATGATAAGTCAAGCAATACTTCCTTCATACTTTTAAGAATGCATATTGGAAATGAGGGTACACACACTAAACCATGTTCCAACTAAGATTGTAGATAAGACACTATACAAGATTTAGGATGGAAAGAACCCTAATTTGTCTTAACTATAAATTTAGGATGCAAAGCTTTTGTCAAAAGCACATGCAAGGACAATCTTACATTAAGAGAAATAACTGCATCCTTATGAATTATTCTCAAGAAACAAAGGGATATTAGCTATACTATGTTACGGACTATTATCTAGTTAGAAAGAGATTACATCTCTATAGAGGATAATGGGAGCAAGGTAGACTTGGAATAAGTTAAAGATACTCGAATATTGCAAAGACACACAAGAGTTAGAAAAAGTGCTAGTTATACAAAAGATACTAGAATAAGTGAAAGCTTAAAAGACATAGGAACTGTATAGATCAAGTTAAGTATGTAGAAAATCAAAGTGATGTAGTTTTCTAATCACTAAGAAACGATCCAAGTCGAAGCTTGCCATTGGCCTAATAGCTCTTTAGGCCATGATCCACAAACCCTCAAGAACTCAAGCTTAAGTTGTTAGTGGTAGTTGGAATTCACATTTACATATTAGACTCACAATTTTCCATCAATGTGAGATTTAGAGTGTTACAATCTCTCCCACTGAAATGCTTCATATCCTCATCAAGCCAAAGTACACTTAGAATTAGGCCTACTAGCCCACAAGCATAAGATCCACCTCAAGTGATGCGAAATCTACACTACCATCAACTGTGATGCTCAACATAAGCCTACACCTACAAAAGTCGACTACTCTAATACCAATTGAAAAGACTCGGGCTAAAATCTGCCATTGGCCTAACAACTCTTTAGGCCAAAATCTATGAGCCATCAAAAGCACAAGTTATTAGTAGTGATTGGTCTCCACACATATATCAAACTCATTCACAATTTCCCACTAATGTGGGATTTGGGGTATTACAAAGGTGATGTACTACTCATAGAAATAACGAGAAACTATTAAAAAAGAAATAGTTTTTGGCTAAGACTCCGAGAGATGGCAAGAAGCCATGAAATCTAAGATGAAATTTATGAAATCTAAGATGAAATCTATGTACCAAATCAAGGTTTGAACCTTGGTTGAACACATAAGGTACTAACAGGTATTCAAAAGGAAAAGGGCATGGATAGAAAGATGCCTACCTATTAAGCACTATTGGTTATTAAAGGTTTCAAGCAATGTCAAGGATAGACAATGACAAAACCTTTTTTATGGTAACTACGCTTAATTCCATTAGGGTTTTACTAGCCACAGTAGCATACCAAGACTATAATTTTTGTCAAATAGACATCAAAACCATATTCCTTAATGAAATTCTAACTAAGGAGCCTTACATAACATGGATAGATGATTTTGTAATTCTATAAGATGCCAAGAGGGTATGCAACTTGTAAAAGTCCATTCATGGGCTAAAGCAAGATTTTAGGGGTTAAGAAAATTTGTTTTGATGAAGCAAGTCAAGGTTTTTTTTTATTTCATCAAGAAAGAAAGTAAGACTTGTGTTCACAAAAAGTGAGTGTGAGTGCTGTGGTTTCGTAATATTGCATGTTAATAACATACTAAGTATAGAAAACCAAATGCCTACCTTGGAGTCTTTAAAGACTTGGCAAGGCATGTGCTTCTCCATGATCGATTTAAGTGAAGTAGCCTTTATCCTAAGGATAAAGATTTATAGAGATGGATCTTAAAGGTTGTTAAGACTAAGTTAAAGCATGTACATCAACAAGATATTCAAGCAATTAGCTTGAAACAATCAAAGAGAGGATTGATACCTATGCCACATGGCAAATCTCACTCCAAGAAGATGTGTTAACAAACACAAGAATAAAGGGCAAGGCCGTGCAAGATTCCATATATGATAGGATCCATTATGTTTACTATGCTTTGTATAAAGTTTAAAGTTTTATATGCTTGGAGCATGATGAGTGAACCTTGTACATAGAAAAGGCAAAGAGCTACTAGTGAGGGGTTACACACAGGCTAGCTTATCCAAAGATTGTAATGATCTAAAAACCATAAAGTGGTTTTGAGTTTGACCTTACTAGAGACGCAGTGCATTGGTATAACTCAAAGGGAGATGTTATCACAGATTCTAAAGTAGAGTCTATATTGCAATTTTCAAGGTAACTAGAGAAACAATTTGATCCACAGGTTTATATCTAAGCTTGGCATTGTGCTAATATTATTGATCTAGTTGTTGTAACAACATTGCAAGCCATAACACTAGCCAAGGGACCACGATCTCATTAGCAAACAAAGGAAATACTTAGGAAAATATTGTCTTCTAACAAGTTATGTTGGACCCACTAACTAAAGTCATAACTCAGCAAAAACATGTTATATACATGAGAGTTAACAAGGTTCAGTATGCTAGCAGTTAACAATAATGATGCAAGTGGTAAATTGTTAGAGAACACTTTACTAGTCAACTGGGTCG